CCGCCCGCCTGGCTCGCTGGCCTCTCCGCGGGGACCCGGCGGCGCCGCAGTCCCGGCCGGTCCGCAAGACATGGCCCAGCACCGCCAGGAGGCAATGCCGGGGCCCGAGGCTGCGGTGCAGATCCGTGTCGCCATCCAGGAGGCCGACGACGTGCAGGAGCTGGAGGACGAGCAGGAGGGGGCGGAGGCTCGGGGTGCGGGGGACACGGCTCGCTATCTCAGCCCCGGCTGGGGCAGCGCCAGCGAGGAGGAGCCCAGCCGCGGGCACAGGTAGGCACGGCGGTGCGGCCGGGCCGAGGTGGGAGCCGTCAGCCCCTGCTCCTGTCTAACGGGATGGCAGGCCACCTCTCCTTGGGAGCGGGGGTCGAGTCAGCCCAGAGGTGGGGAAAGCCGCCCTGCGCGATCCCACCTAGTCAGAACTACCTTTGGCGGGTGATGGTCCCCCCCCCCCCACCAGCCTACCCCACCAGTCCACAGCTATGTCACCTAACGGAGATTCCCCAGGCTAGCCGGCTGGGCTCTGAGGGTCTGGGAGTTGGGCCTGCTCTGGGACCCCAAAGGAAATCCTGCCTGGGTCATCCTGCCACCGTCGCCCCACTGGGAGAAGGCGCTCCACTCCCCTGCTCACCCAAGGACCCTTGCAAAAGCCCAGCCCGGTAGGGCTCCGAGGTTGGCCCACCTCCCTGGAAGAGTCCCACTTCACTGTTGCCATTGCTCTGTCATGCTGAAAGGCTTGGATGAGTCTGAGGGGGTGGAGGGCAGGTTGGTGACATGCCAAGCATAGCTGACACTTGCTGTTGGGGGAATCCAAGGAATGATTTCAGGGGTAGGTGATGCCCCCTTGCCCTGATTGGTATCAGGACTGCCCCTTGCTTCCTCCCTGGCAGGGGATTCCCATTTTCATGAAGCCTTCCCACCTGACTTCAATGCTTACATCATCCTCTTGCTGCCTTTGGGGGGGGGGGCGGTGAGGGGGGTGATTCCAGGCTGATGGGTAGTCTGACCTGGCATGGCACCAGAAGCCACCCATCTTTTGGCCTCTGGACCCTGGGCTCTGTCAGCAAGAGGCCTTAGTCTTGTGTCCATCACTACCTAGGCCTTTCAGGACTATGGTTTTGTTCTCCTGAGAGTACCCACAGAGATGAGAACAAGGACAGTGAAGAACTTGCGGATTCTGGGAAATGCCAGTAGGCACTTAAGTGCCCGCTTTTTTCTGGAACTCTGTGTACATCCTCTCAGCTGTCAGAACCCTGCAGGATTATTCCTTGGCAAGTATTTTTCTACTCTTGGGGGAGGCTGTTAAATTCAGGGTGGAAGGATACTGAGACCAGAGTCATCCCCTCTCACTGACTCTTCCTCAGTGGAAAGGTCTAGATGTAAGGACCCAGAGTCAGGCAGTTCAGTGGAGATAGAGGTATTTGAGCAGAAAAGTGCAGTCAGCCTTTCCCAGCAGGGACCACATTACATGCCACAGTAGATACCTTAGGTGTATCACACAGTTTGGATACTGTAAAGCCTGATTCATTCACTCATTCAGTTCTGTGCTAAGTATTGAAAACAATGAACCCATAGTTACTGACAGGTAGATCTGGAGGAAAAGACAGTTCTGCAGTATGGAAGGATCATGTAAAATTCTGCAGTATGGAAGGGATCATATAAAACATCCCAGAGTGATCTATCCTTCTGGTTTTGTCTGTGACTGGCCTAACGTTGGCCCGATCCTAGAGGCTAAGTTTCTGAGATAGAACTATTAACAGGGAACAAGCCCCTTTTATTCCTTGGGCCAGGAAAGATCCCTTGTGAAGGTCTAGGAGAGTATGATCCTCAGTGTAAGAGGAATTCTTGTTCACATTTTCTCCCCCTTTCCAGAGCTGCTCTTCTCTCCCAGCTCAGTGACTAGACTCTTTGGGTCATTTATTCTGAGTGAATCCCGCCTACTGACATAGAGTTGACCCCAGAAAATCCCTGGAGCTCTTCAGAGTAAGTGGAGCTAAAGCTGATAGGGCCCAGAGGGCAGACATACAGAGTACAAAGAGGAGGCACCATCTACCCCTGTTGGGGCCCTGGATGGTACAGTAGCAGCCACCACCTGTACGAACACTTCTCAGCCCCCAGAGTCTGAAGGAGAAAGCCCCAAAGCTCCTAAATCTGCTGGTTGAAATGTGGCACCCACTGCAGAATCCTCCTTGGCTTGCTGCTTCTTCCCTGGCCTGCTGTCACAACCCATGTTCCCCCAGTCCCGACACTTATCCAGTTATCTGAACACAGCTGGCAGTTTTGTGTCCTTACACCTTAGCACTCTCACCTCTGGTGCTGCTGGTTGACCAATTTCTAGTCATCCTTCACCTTTGCTGCCTCTTCCTCACCACCCCAGTCCCTACCCCAAAGCTGGGTTTCTTTCTTCTCTATTGCTCTGGTACTCTCTGTTTGTTCTTCTCCCTCGCATTGATGTAATCCCATAGTTCTGTCTTCCTCACAAGAATAGGAGGCCCTTGAATTCATGGGCCATTGCATCCCCAGCACACAGCCCAAGGCCCTGGCGTGTGTAGGTCCTCTGTGTATGTCTGTTGGATAAATGCATCTCTGTCTTGGCACTCTCTCTGCCATGTTGAACTATTACATGTGCCAAATGGAGGAGAAACATGAATTCAAGGGGCTCCTATTCTTGTGAGGAAGACAGAACTATGGGATTACATCAATGTGAGGGAGAAGAAGGCAGAGACTTTGCCTTAGTCTTCTCCATAGTTCTAGTACCAATGCTAATTTCTGGAGAACAGCAAACAAATAGGAGTAAGGAAATATTTTATTACCTCCAATGTTCACTAGTGACCCCACACCTTGCTCACTGGAAACAAGTATTTCCTTTTGTTCTTACTCTTTTAATATTAAAGTTGTCAAACATAAAATGAAAAGTCATCCTGTGAGCCTTCCTATACCTACCCTTTTGGTTTATCAATTAATATTTTGCCATATTTGTCTGAAAAACATAATAATGGGGTTTTCCCCAGTTGCCCATCTTGTGTTGTTCAGCTGTTTCTTTTTTTCCTCAAACCAGAATTTAACTGAGATCAAGGCATTTGCCCATTATGTCTCTTTAGAATCTTTTAATCTCAAACAGTCCCACTATTTTTTTGTATTTGCTATTTTGGAAATAAGAGGTCCATATGTCTCTCTGAGTGTCTCACAATTTCAACTGGTCTGGTGATATTCTCGTGTTCTGGTTTCAACTGGCTCTTCTGTACCATGTGTTGTGTGTTTCCTGTAAACTGGAAGGGCTAAGGACTTGATTAGATGCAGATTAAACATTTAAACTTCATAGGCAAAGCCGTGAACTTTTCCTTGGGCCGCCTTAGATGCCATCCACCAGAAGTGACGCTTAGTTGGACTAGGGGATTGCTCCACTGTAGTGGTACGACTTGGCCTTGGCATTAACACTATGTGGGTTTCTTGTGAATATTTTTCCATCAACACTCTTTACTGCATGGTTTTAGCATCCTTTGGTGATCCTTGCTTGTGTCAGTTAGTTCATTGGGAATTATAAATTAGTGGTTTTCTATTTTTATCAGTCTTTGTGCACTTATTAACTGGCATTTTTCTGTAAAAGAGAGTTTGCCTTATCACCTGGGATTGACCAAGAGTTTCTCTTTAAGATGCAAGCAGAAATGTTACCACTTCTCAAAGAATTGGTGTAATAGTCACAACGTATCACATAATTTAAATAAATTATTCAGAATAAATTATGTATTCTACAATACATGCATTCATTATCTTGTTTTTTTAAAGATTTATTTGTTTATTCATACAGAACTGGGGTACAGGCCAGAGATGCGGAGGGTGAGAGGACTCATCAGAGACAGAATGGGGAGCAGGACAGGCAGATCGACGAAGTACACTGCTGAGGGGAGCAGTGGGCGGGTCAGGAGAGGTCTGCCGTGCCATGTGGGTCTCCTCCAGGGCAGGCGGGGATCGAACTCATGCGGAAGTGGCCTAAGCTTCTTTGTGCTGCGTTTTAACCCGCTGCGCCACCAGGGAGGGCCCATCTTGTTGTTTTTTTTTTTAAGATTTATTTATTCATACAGAACTGGGGTACAGGCCAGAGATGCGGAGGGTGAGAGGATTCACCAGGGACAGAGTGGGGAGCAGAACAGGCAGATCGACGAAGTACACTGCTGAGGGGAGCAGCGGGCGGGTCAGGAGAGGTCTGCCACGCCATGTGGTCTCCTCCGGGGCAGGTGGGGAATCGAACTCATGCAGAAGTGGCTTAAGCTTCTTAGTGCTGTGCTTTAACCCTCTGCGCCACCAGGGAGGGCCACATTATCTTGTTTTAATAATTGTTTATGGTCACTATTTTTGATGCTCAAATTGCCCCTAATATAGTCAGGGGAGCCCCTTCAGTTGCATTCAGTATATCCTTCTGGCACTTATCCTTATGGTATTTGAGCACTTCTATGCTTTTAAGGATATTCTAGCCATAATACATTTTTTTCTATGCCAATCCATTTCTCTGGAATTCCTGTTTTTTCTTTTCCTGATAGTGGGAAAGTATTAACAGTAAATTAAGAATTAAACAATTAATTTAACTAAGACCAAATTTTAACATAAGAGTGGTAATTTCTGCTGGAGCATTGTTGCTTTGAGACACTTTCAGTAAACAAACCTAGGAAACAGATTTTTCAAAAAATAAATTTGTTGATATTCTAAGTCAAATGTATCAACACCAAGTCCAGTTTAATATTATAGGTTTTTGTTTCTCTTCTTTTACTCTTTATATGGCAAATCTTCATTCCTAATATCATTAACATTTTTTATTTGCTTGTCTTACAATGAATAAAATTATAAAAAAAAAGATACTAAATATTACAGATGAACTCAAAAAACACTAAGCACATCTGCTTCTCAGTGGACAAACAGGAACAGCTTGGTGTCTTTCTCTTCATGATGTTTCCCGTTGAGGAGAACGAAACCTCCTTTTATTAATGCCAGTCTTATGTCAGACATGGAGCTAAGTATTTTGTCTGCATTATCTCTGTTCAACACCACAAACCATTATTTAGACCTGCAGAGGCGTCTGCTGGTTATACTCCTTTCCCAGGCCCTAGGAAATAGGACAGAACAGCACTGCAAACAACAGGGTTAGAGGTGAAAGTCATCAATTCTGTAATAAAAATGTAAGAACATGTGGGCCATCCAAACACAGGATGTGGCCTCTCTTAGCAGTATTCAAAAATGGTTGTTCCAACCATTTTCTAACTGGGAACCCACAGTACATC